AATATCGTAATATGACCTTTTTACATTCTTTTTACGAAAAATTTAATGAGATATTTTATTGTGTAAAGAGGGGCCCATGTATGCATTTATAACAAGTTAAAAAACGATTTTTTTTTCTTCGATAAAAGTGTAACAATTTTTTTTCTGATTCCAAGATTTTTGGTAACGTGCATTTGTAACAACTATCATTGTCACGTGTATCGTTTCAAATTATTATTGTTTTACTTGTTGCAACATCCGTGATCCGACCCGATGCGAAGCAGGCTACAACTAGTAGTAAATTAAATAAATCGAGTAAAAAAAAATAAGTGGCCTTATTTTGCTATTAGAAGAATAAAAACAAATTGACAATTATTCATTTAGCGAAAACCTTAGTAAAAAAAGGATTATTTAGCATATAAATGTCAACCACTTCGGGTATAGAGATCGAATCATGTTGTGAAAATGTGTGTTATAAGAACTTACATTTATTGTTTCAAGTATTTTTGAATAAACTACTAAATATTCTACACTAGAAAACAAAATCATTTATTCCTGTTCAAATATAATACTGATAAAACCAATATTTTTTTTTATCTATATTTTTTGTACAAACAGCATAATTTAAACGTTATCCAAACAATTTGTAACCAACTTACCAAAGAATAATCAATTAAACTTTTATGTATAATGTTCAAATTTCTTTATATGATAATTTATTAGAAATAATATGGTTTCTTTACTAAAAATCAAGCTATACTATTAAGATTATCGGGCAATAGAACCACATTGTAAAAATAAAAATATCTAGATAATATATACATAATTTATGCAAATTTAAATAAAATCAAGTTCATCCTGTAAAGACAATAGAGGTTTTAAATTAAATCATCACCTAATTTAACGTGTTTTCCTATAATAACAAATTTATTTTAATAAAAACAATCAAGTTAGCGGTTAAAAATCCATACTTACTATTTACTTGAGTGTTGATTTCTAATTCTTTAATATCACGCTTTTTTGAAATATTTTCAGATGAATTAGATGAATTATATTGAGGAGTACAAACTACACTTTGATGCTGTGCATTTGAAACAATTTAGGTTGCTGAATCCACATTTATTGCATTTATTGCGGGTAGTCTAATAAATTATCATTAAAAAAGAGTATGAAACTCAAGCTATAAATTAACTATTCATGCATTTTTAAAACAATTTATATTACTTAATATATTACAATACCTTTCAATATCAAATTCAAGTTCTTTTGAAATATATTCTAAATGAACAAAATTTCAAAAAATTTTAACTATTTAAAACTTATATTTTAATTGATACATTTTCTAATAAAATATTAATGTTCTACCTGCTTCCGGGTGTTGTGAATTAGAATTATTACTCGATAAAGTTGAACTAAATAACGTAAAATTTAGAATTATTCAAATTAAATAAATAATACCATATATATTATTTATTAAGAAAATACAATTACCTTTGAGTATCAATATCATATTCATGTACCTTTGAAAGATATCCTGAAATTAAAATAGAAGGATATTAATAGATAAATTAATATTTGACTATTTAATGTATTTATTATTGCTTTAGGCAATTACCTTGATTCATATTATGTGAATTTGTAAATGAATTCATAGATGAAGATTCAGAAATTAAAGAATTTAACGGTCTACTTGTATAGATTGCTTTTGGATGTTTTTCTGTCAATTTAGAACTAAATTTCCTTAATACTATTAATTTCAATCGTTTTCTCTCTGCTTCATAAAATTGTGTTATGTAGTTATTATTATTACTATAAAGCCAATTATCAACAGTATCCCGAACTTCTTGAATACAAGGTCTCTTTAATGGATCAGTATCCCAACAACTTTTCATTAAATCAGCATAACATTCAGGAGTATCTTGTGTAATTTCAGGTCGAATTCCATCTATAATACTATAAATAAGATGATGATCATGTTCAACATTAGCAAAAGGTTTACAACCTGTTGTAAGTTCCCACATAACCATAGCCAAACTATAAACATCAGATGCTTTTGAAAATGAAGCACCATTAAATATCTCTGGCGCAATATAAGGCATAACTCCATATATTTCATTATTTAATGGAATATTATTTGCGGGTAGTGATAATCCTAGATCTCCAATTTGCCAGAAAGTAGTAAGTAACATATTTCCACTATGTATATCTCGATGTATGAGATTTTTATCATGAATACTTTGAAGTCTAACTTAAAAAATAAATTAGTATTATAATAAGTTATTAATAAATAGTATAAAAAAATCGTATATATACCCCAACAATATGTCGTTTAAAATATTTAATTTAGATTTAGATTTATCTGAATTCCATGATAATTCTGTCAAATTTCTTTGTAAATAATGATGTAAATCCCCTTCTGATGCATAATTCATTACTAACATACAATCATTTGTTACGGGATCTTTTGTAATACCATGATAACTCATTACAAAACCAGTATTACAGCAAATAAGATTTGATCTTATCTAATATAATTTGAATTATTTTAGTTTATTAAATATAATTACATTAATATAAAATATTGGATAATTACCTCATTTAAAAAATATTTTCCTGAATCTAAAAACCTTTTTATGGCAACATTCGAACTATTATCTTTAAAATTTCGTATAATACCTAAATAATTTGCTTTATAAATGATGCCAAATCCCCCTTCTCCAATTTTTTCTAAGTTTGTAATTTGAGAAAATGGGATCCATTTAATTACTGAGTGTGAAAACTTAAGGATGTTTTGATATATCTCATATGGAATGGAACCATTTTCAATAGTTTTCATGTAATTATCAAATTGAATCCGACCATTAAGATATGTATTGCGAATGAATTCATCTGTAATACTATTTCCACTGCTTATAAATGATGTCAAACCGTTTATATTTGATTTATCAATATAAATTGGTGTTGTTTTTATGCATTTTTTACATTGTGTTTGATTTACGGTTCCACCAATAAGATTTGTTGTTAAACAATATCTGCATCCGCTGTAAGTTATTTGGCAATATTCACAACATTTGAGACAATCAGATACGTAATTTAATTCTTTGCTACAATTTCTACATTCATTTTGATCTTGATCCCACCATGGTAAAAAAAGAATTGGAATATCTTCATTGGTTAAAGCTGATTTTACCCATTCAGTAGTAACTTGATAACAATCTGAACATATCTTAAAGCGAATGGATCTCGATATCTCTTGATAAACCAATTTTCCACATATTTTACAATCCTTAATATTTTCAATTACCTTAAAACTCGTTGTTAAATAATTCGTACCGCTTCTCATTCCTGTATATACTTGTTTGAACCATAAAATATCGTAACATGATTCACACCATTCATGAATGTTTTGTGTACAAAAATCTGTATACCTAGTTTCATGTTTATTACATTGAACATTATTTGTACCCATAAGTACATCCAAATACGTATTATCATCAGGAATCTTACTAACATAATCAGTTAAACAATTTTTACAATATTTTTGGTGAAAAAAAATTGTTTTTGAGTATTTATTCCCACAATGACATTTATCATCAAATCGGTTAAAAGGAAGAAACGTAATTGATACAGGACTGGATCTTAATTTTGGAGTTGGATCAAAAGAATTTCCACTCTTTGTAATCATAAGTTCCATATTTATGAAAGGCTTAATAAGTATATAAATGAATATTTACATCATTTTTATATTTACTCATGTTATACAAAAAACATTTCGGAGTCGATTTTCCAATTTAAATTTCTTAGAATTCTATTATTTCTTATAGCTAAGATCGACATCTCATGACATGAATTGTATGACAAATATTGGGAAATTTAATCATTAATTGTACCACAATGTTAATTTTATACTTGGAGTTAATTTTATGGATTTGCTTGCTGCGCCGGCATGACATAATTATGATGTATTAAAGTTATTGTGCTTGGCAAGACAACGGACGATCAGTTAGATTCCTTAAAATTACGAAAAAGTTCATTATCATTCTCTTCTCGTCATTTATACTAAATTTTTTTAAAAAATGAAAGAGCCACTTTTTAAGAACCACGAAAAAAAAATAAATTATTTAAATTATATTGTTAACATCCAAACCAACAAAATTATGTTGAGAAACAAGTTCATAATACACATGATTTCAAAGGACTCAACCTCACAGTTTATCAATCACCAAAGAAATCTGAATAGCTAATGCATATAAACATAAAGTTCCATCACCTTTAAACTAAAATCTAAAATTTCAATTTATTGAGGAGCTTATTGTTTCAGATGATGATTTTCGGATGACCAAGTTAGGTGCATTATAGTTGGTGAAGAAAATGAAAAATTCTAATACAAGTATTCCATAAGATAATAAATATAATTTTAACCTTATTCATCGTGGTACAATATTATACGTAGTATGTATAATGTCCAGGGAGCATGTGTTGTGACCATTAAAACTAAAGAGAATGATACGATAAATTGGTGGTTTTAATCCACTCGGTTGAAATTACTATTATTCTCGCTAATACAAAAAGTTTTAATTTTTCTTTAGGTGATGGAAAAGATTTAAATGATTTTAAGATTAATCAAGTTGTTAATAGCGATAATGCAATATATGGAAGTTATTTTGGTTATCAATAACAATGCTGGTACATTGCAATCAAGCCTATTATTAAAGTAACATTTTAGATACAAATAATTTAATTTATACGCGTGGTTAATTATATCTAAGTTTGGACGATGCCCCAGTTTCAAATTTCAAGTTGGACTGCCTGAAATTGAAATTTCAATTCTTGACAATATGGATTTGCCAATTTAAAGTTGGGGCAGATCACAACTTGAGGCACAACATATATATATTTGAATGTGGAAAAAGTAAACAATTTTTTAATTATTATTCAATCATGACTTTCTTTAAAGCAGATGAATCGTTTATATCATCTCAATTACACCGATGATATGTGCGTATTTGACATTTTCAAGGTTACGTTGCAAGATAATTCTTCTTTTTGAAAATATCATTATCGCTTAAAGTACTTATTTCTTTATCACGAATTGATGCAATAGGTCTATCAGATTTATTAGCGATAAGTGATTTTGGTAACTGATATAATTAAATTAATTTAAACTTTTTGGAAAGTATTCGCTTCACGAATATCATCTAAGAGAAGATAATACAAAAAAAAAATGAACACCCAATGAATAATCTTTTTTTTCTTATAAAATTACATATTTATTTGTTAAAACCATATGTTTGTCCATACTTTTAAAACGATCTCAAAAAAAGCTTATTTTAGGCCGGTGTTAGCCGCAGATCATACTGCGCCTCAAATGATCTTCGACTCTGCCAAATATCACGAAAGTGATACATCGTTTGGTCGACTTTATAATTCATGTATCGAATAGTTTACCTTTTAATATAAATATTATATAGTCTACTTTTCATTACTTATATTATTTTCATTATAT